CCGTGAATGATAGGCCATTTCCTTTTGAGTCTTCAAAAGTGTGCATTCCAGCCTTCATTACAGTTTGGGCTTTTTGTTAATGCAAAGTTATTTAAGAGATCATAGAAATCCTTCGCTTATTTATCGCCTCTGAATGCACTTTGTAGGCTACAACAGGGAATTTACAGACCATTTTAATTCTTAGGTATTGTTCTGGAGTTTTTCTTAAATATCAACTGATAAATCTTTTCATGTGGTTATTATTATTATTATTTTTATCTTTTGTGGTCAATGAAAAGTAATGCATATGAAATTTTAGTCTCTATTAAAGGTTTCTCATTATTAAACGACCCTGGACGAGTGTTCCGTTGTTGAACTCGATATTTTATTAATTTAGGGCTAATTATATAATGTGTTAGCTATTACTGATTTATCGTTTAATTAGTATAATTAGAGAACAGCAACAATTTGTGCATAATTTTGGAAAACGGTAATTGGGTGTATTAACTATTCAGTTGTCTCTGCTGTATTCATTTAATGAGATTGTAGCCTATATTATTTCTATGGGATAATAAGTTAAAGTCAGATACTGACAGTCTTTCTTCTCTACATTTCAGATGGACAGAAGACACGGAAAAAGAGGTGTCCTTACACAAAATATCAGATCAGAGAGCTGGAGAGAGAATTTTTCTTCAGTGTTTACATCAACAAAGAAAAAAGGCTACAGCTTTCCAGAATGCTCAACCTCACCGACCGTCAAGTAAAAATATGGTTTCAAAACAGAAGAATGAAAGAAAAAAAACTAAACAGAGACCGCTTGCAGTATTACACCACGAACCCTTTTCTTTAGATCGTCTATTGCTGAGAAATCATTTAGGCGAGATGGTTCATTTCAAGTTCGTGGATGCACATTCCGGCTCCCAGAGGCTGCTGCGAGACGAGATGTGACCTTCATTAATCTGAGAGACTTTTTCATCGACATAAACTTACATTTATATTCTCAGTAATCTCATACCGTTTGAAATTAAAACTATTATTATTATTGTTGTTGTTGTTATACTGGTATTGTCATTTGTTATTATTATTTTTCCATTCTACTCAGTTAAATGACTATTCAGTTTACAGGGATTTAATTTTTGTTATTACTATTATCTGACCAAGATCTGTACTTTTCGCATATGTCTAGCAGTAAGTAAGCTACAATCTATTCTTGAAATCTATTTTGCTGGGGGGGGAAAAAATTGGGGCGGGCGAGATATAAATACTAATGGAAAAGAAGGTGGTTTTTAATCTGTTAAATACTTGTGGTTTATATTATTAGACTTTGTTTAATTGAATAACGCACATTTCATGAAGCCTAAGCATATTAAGAACTAAATGCATCATGCGCGCTTTATTCTCTTCCTTGAATTGTGTGGACTGAAAGTGTATATTTGATATTAGGTGTCTTTACTGCGCATTTTCCAGTAAAATCGGGTGTTCTAAGTGTGTTCGGAAATGTCCAAAAACAGAGAGAAATTCTTATTTATTTTTAACGGACATTAGGCATTACATAAGGCAAAAGCAATAACTGAACCAGCATGGACACTGCTCTGAAACCCTATTTTCTTTTTTGATTTCTGTGTTTCTCCACGTTTTCTCTAAAACGCGTGAAACTATATCGATGTTGCAGGAGCTCATTCATGTTCATGATAATCTCTCATGTTTATAACATCTCTTCAATGTTATATAAATCAGTCTCTTGAAATATCTTGTGTTTTCTCTCTTTTTTCCTGGAGCAGGATCAAATGTTTGATGGATCTTGCGTTATATTGCCTCCACGCTTTTCTTTGATTCAAGGATCAAGTGTTTGCCGTTATTAATGCCTAGTATCCATTACGGAACTGCCCAAAACATTGCTGTGTATGTCTCCATGAATCAAACGGCCTTTCAACAAATGGTTCTGTGTCGATCTTCCAGATAAGTCTTTATATCATATTGCTATTTTGAGAGTGACATGTAGCATCAATACAAACATTTCTTGAGAATTAAACATTTTTTTTTCTTGAACATGAAAAGACTATGAAAAGTCTCTTGTTGCTTCATATAGGCTAATTTTACAGTTTCCCTGCATCAATATATCGATGATCCACTGCCACTCGGAAGTCTTATATAAAAAAGTAGACCATAAGATAATAACGACTGTTTTACGTGATGACCCTGACGGTTTGCGCATCCTTTGAGGCTCGATGGAATTTCGCCCTAATTACGGCACATCCCCCCGTTGCTGCAGCAACTCGGTCATAAAACCCGTCTTAGTCTGGAGCATTTGTAGAATTGGAGTGAGGTGCCATAAACCGTCTGAGAACCAAGGTTATTAACTGTGACTAAGAGCTAGAAAACAACGGCTGGAACTATTGAAAGCTTGTGTTCACGGACTTTTCCGCCATCATTTGTCTCAGTGTCCCATCATGGCACCACGGCTGGATTGCTCACTATTTCGCTCTTTCGACGATACATTTCTTGTCCACTAGGTGGCGCACTTTAGATCAATGTCATTGCCGGGTATCTAAAATCCAATGCTGAAACATGTTTACTTTGTGTACGGGCAAAGGACAACGTCTTTGTGAACTATACAAGGCACTCTTTCAGGTAAATAGCCAAGCTACCATTCTGGAATTGTTGTCAGCATTGTATTCATTTATTATAATTTTTAGATGATAATATAGGCTAACATTTTAATGTTCAAAACGTAGCCTGCAAGTAAAGTTTGTTTCATGATAAAAACCTTTTCATTTAAAAAGTAGTACCACTTCTAACAGTTATATTAATCTCAGAATATTTGTTTGTTCCAATTTGACTTTTTTTTTTTTTTTTTAAGAAATTGTAAGAAATTGGAGACATGTTTTGATTCTTGGCTTGTTACAGTTTTACAATTTTGCATTTTATTTGTATTGTTCTAAAATGTTTTCTGCGCCATATAAAATCAATAAGTCTTTAGCAAATTGTGATGCGTTAAATGAAAAACAAAATGATCTAATCTTTATTGGCTAATTAAAATTCAAATGACTTTTAAAACAATAGCTACCCGTCTTAAGCCACTTTGATTTCTTAATGCAGAAAGTACAAATAAATGTTTTCCAACAGCCGAAAAGATCAATTTCAAATAATAATTTGTCAATTGCCCATTGTTTTCCTTTAACATAGACTACATTTCAGCTTATGAAGCGTGATAAGAACTTATTTTGTGGTAACATTGTCATTAGTTAGTTACAGTAAAAGCTTCCACTAGACAGAGTGAATTAAAACATGATTATTGGAGCAGGGACAACTTGACTATAAAGAAAATTAGGTTTAGGCTACTTTGATGTGAGGAGCCTATACCTATTTTTTAAACGTTTTTTTTTTCGACCCGAGTCATCTAATTACTGTAGTTGTGATATTTGGTCGATATTTAAAATTGCATGCTGATGCTCATGTGCATTTTTTTTTAAATCATAAATGTGTTAATTCCAACTATAGGACGAATAATCCTATGAACAAAGAAACAGGCCTATTTGTGAATATATCTGTGGAGTAGGCTATTTTTGAACGCGTAAAAACCGTTGGAAAGAAAGTTCAGAGATAGAGCAATAAATGACCATTTTCCACATAACATTAAGCAAAATTACCATTTTCAACATAACATTAAGCAACGGCTGACAAGAAAACTTAAATGTGACCCTGGACCACAAAACCAGTCTTAAGTAGCACGGGTATATGGGTCAAAATTATCGATTTTCTTTTATGCAAAAAATCTATAGGATATTAGCCTAAGTAAAGATCATGTTCCATAAAGATATTTTGTACATTTCCTACTGTAATATCTCAAAACTGAATTTTTGATTAGTAATATGCATTGCTAAGGACTTCATTTAGACTATTTTAAAGGCGATTTTCTCAATATTTATATTTTGTTTTTTTGTTTTTTTGCACCCTCAGATTCCAGATTTTCAAATAGTTGCATCTCGGCCAAATATTGTACAAACCATACATCAATGGAATGATTATTTATTCAGCTTTCAGATGACATATAAATCTCAATTTCGAAAAATGTAACCTTATGACTGGTTTTGTGGTCCAGGGTCACAAATGAAAAAACACAAACCTGAGAGAGAATTTTAGAATTATATTTCATGTAATTAAATGCAAATCAAATGACAAATATATACAACGGCGGCCTCGACATCACACAGGCTGATTTTCAGATAAATGATAATAGGCTATCTCCTGAACGCCAAAGGTAGGCAAAGGTAAATTTAATCACATACAACATTTGCGTCAAAATGGCTATTGTTAAATCATTTAGTAAACGTTATGGGATTGTGGTTAGATTTATACAAAAATAGTAGCCTTTAAACGATTTTTTACTGTTAACCCGTAACTCAGTATTGTAATATAAAGCTTATATATAGGCCTATATGTAACTTTAAGATTATCACATGCTAATTCTTTATTCTACAGTATGGAAATCCACATCCACCACATAAAGTGTTTCTGAAAAGCAGACTGAAAGCCGCCTCTCGTTTTGAACTTGAGTGTAGTAAATAAATTGTTTTGACCCACCGCATGCATGAAAACCAGAAGAGCAGTCTGTAACTCACTGTTTATGTGCTTAAAGGGCTGTTGGGGCAATTACAGTGTATCATAAAGGTTTACTATTTTAGCACTCGATCTCCTTTTCGATACCTTGTTGCTTTTTGGTTTTATATAGACTACGTGGCTCACAAGGCTTTGCGGCTAAGCAAAGTCAGTGGTCGTAAACATAATGCTGTTCACGTGAAATTCTGGGTTTATTCGTTTATATTTTAAAAAAACGACTGATCGGGTTAATGTAGATTTGACTTTTAAAAAATCTAGTAGCTTGAAAAAGATATGGGACACAACGGTTACGTGCCCACAGAGGGAGGAGTCATAGGTGCTCGTTGCGATTTAATTGGCTGTTAGCTCACACTGAGTTGTATAGTTATCAGTAATTATATTCAGCATGTTTTGCACAAGAAATGTCATCCAGAAAGGGCAATCTTCTTCCACCGTCATATTATACCACAAAGATGTCATGCTCCGATAGTCCATCTGGAAATTCGTTTCTGGTAGACTCCTTGATCCACGGAAGGGCCGAGGGAAGCGGGCACTACTACCAAAACAGCGGAGTCTACTTGCAGCCGAGCTCCGAGTATTCTTATGGACTGTCTAACTGTGGCTATTTTTCTGGACTCAAACGGAACGAGAGCAATTCGCAAAATGTAGTACCTACTTGTGGGCCATATCAAGGCATGGAAACATGGCTGGAGACGTCGAGGTCCTGTCGCATTGAACAGCCTAACAACCAAATTACCCCACGGTCGTTCTCGCCCACCATAAAAGAGGAAAACTCTTACTGCTTATACGAGTCTGAGAAGTGTCCAAAAGACACCATTACAGAGGACATATCGTACTCCCGGCTGACACCAAACTCATGTCCATCTAGCAACAATAACGGTTGTGTTCCGGTACCTGGCTACTTCCGTCTATCTCAGACATGCACCACATCTAAAGGTTTTCCAGACAACCAGTCTGTATCGACTCGTGCTGCTGCTCAACGCTCTACCCGATTTGACAGCTCTCTTTCAGCCATTGGAGCAGAAGCGAGCAGGGAAGAGAACGACGAGCCTCCCACATGCGCACCATGTGCCCCGGCAAGAAACAAGGAGCTAAGGGGGTCCACTGGCACCGCTTCATCTCCCGAACCGCCGGACAGTCCGGAGAAGGCGGTCACTGTTACAAAAGGTTAGTTTTGTTGTTGCCCAGTCCAAAGGATTCGGGCGTCCTTTGGGCGCGTAAAAACAATCACGCCTTTGCGCGCGCGATACATGTAGCCTATGGAACTGTTTAACTGATTTTGTTTTTTAATTGCATGTAGTATTACAGTAATATTTCAGATGTTATTTCATAAGGCTTTAGACTGGCCAGATTTGGCAGCACAATCATGTGCGAGAATCTTCTATTTAAAAAAAAAAATAGCTTAAGTCCTTACGTCTGTAGTCGTCTCTGTAATTCTTTACAAATAACACAGCATTCCTTCGTGCCAAATGCAATGTGCACTGACCATTTTTCGTTTTTAAAGCTTACTTAAAAAAAAAATAATAGCATAAAGAATATTTAAAACATATTGTTCACAAGATCTCATTTAACAGTTCAATAACCCTAATTTGATTAATATGAAATATTGTAACTAATTCAATGCAAACCTTCACATAGCAAAATATTAAAGGCAGCGTTGACAGCAATAACGTGTGCTTCGGTTTTCTAAAGTTATCTAAAAAAATTTAAGTGATTACATAAAAAAAAATCGTAAAGCAAATAGGGCCTATTGCTCATGACCCAGGACTATCCCCATTTTGTGCATGTCTATATACGTATACGGATTTAGCAAGCCTATTTCTCATCATGCTGTTTATGACCTCTTGAGATTGTAATCACATGCTTTGATTTATTTAATGTTAAATTTCTTGCATAGGCGGAGTGTTTGTAATAATTGTTATAATATTGTTATAATTTTGCAATGCCTAACAAGAAATATTCTATTACTCTTCCCACAAGAAACGACCGATAAAGCGTCTTCAGTGCTGTAGAACAAAATAATGATTAAAAATGAACTGAATAATCAGATAATTCACAAAAACTGAATCAATAAATCGCAACTCAGTTCATATACTATTAATATGGCGACACACATTAGTATCACAAGAGTCATAGGCCTATTTTACATGTTAAATGAAAAAGGATGTGAGAATGTATTTACGTATGTACAACAGCATGTGGAATTATTGTATGGATATTACACGTTGTTGATAGTAGCTATTATTAGTTTAGTGATTAAATAATATTCATTGGGCGTATGTGGTCACTGCATCCCATTGCAACATGTTGTGAAATGGGGGCCGCGGTTGGACATTTTGGACTAATGCTGTCTCAAATTTGCAGCAGGAGATTCCAAAAGTGGCAATACAGCTAACTGGCTGACGGCGAAGAGTGGCCGTAAGAAGCGTTGCCCCTACACCAAACATCAGACTCTAGAGCTGGAGAAAGAGTTCCTCTTCAACATGTACTTGACACGAGAGCGTCGCCTCGAGATCAGCCGCAGTGTTCACCTCACGGACAGACAAGTCAAAATCTGGTTTCAGAACCGACGGATGAAGCTGAAGAAGATGAGTCGAGAAAACCGAATCCGAGAGTTGTCGGCCAACTTCAGTTTTTCATGAAGCCTCCTCGCTTTATAGATCTCTGGCGCCCTCCTCCATCAGCTGCAGTGGTAGCCTACTTACAACAAACCGTCTCCCGTAGGTGTGTGTGCATATATGACTTGTGCAAGATACTATTGATAACTTATTGTGTGTCGTATACTGTTGACGTTTTTATCTGTTTATGTATCATTTTATTTGACAACCCAGTCGTCATAACATGTCATGGTTATTTATAAACTGTCAAGAGTAGCCTACTTCACTGTAAAAGCAAGAGAGGAAAATAACGAATGCTGAAGGTGTTCATTGTACATAGCATTCAGACTATATTGTACATTTATTGTATATAACTGCGGTATTTGCATGTTGTAATAATAACTATTATGAAACCATTTTTAAATAATAACGACACGTTTCTTCTAAGTACGACGTTGTCAGGTATTTGCTGTTCTAGGCATAAGTGGAATAATCCGGTTAAAATGTAGAAACTTCTAAACATGACGGGACTTGTATTATTTTAACAGCACTCAAATGTAACATCTTTTTGGAAACATATAGGCTAAAGAGATGGTTTCAGATGTAAATTAATTACAGGGCAGAAAATAAATAAAGGCATGTACGCTCTAAAAAATGCTGGGTTGTTTCAACCCAACTTTGGGTCAAATATGGACTAACCCAACCGTTGGGTACATTTTTACATAAAATTTTTAACCCAAAAATTGGGTTAGTCCAAATTTGACCCAAAGTTGGATTGAAATAACCCAGCATTTTTAGAGTGGACCTAAAATCATCTTAGCCTACTTTTAAAGACAATTCTTGTAGTCCAAAACACTCTTGATTTTCTGAGCTTTTTTGTAACGGGGATTTTTTTTGTGCAAGGACTGTAATTTTGCTGACTGTAAAATGAAATGATTTATATAATTATCTACACAATCAGTACTGGTCCCGTGATAAGTCACACAAAAATGATTACAATCATTCTATTCCGGTCTTTCGGGTCTTATTTCTAATTTATTTTAATTAAGGGAAGATTCCATGAAAAGTCAACAAATTTTATGAGACAACATTGGTTAGATCACAGCAGTGTGGGCAAAAACTCACATTTTATTGTACTTGTTTGCTTGTGCAGAAAATAAATAGATTTAAAAAAATACGGCGTTGCCTTCTTATCTTCGCAAGCAAGAAACAAAGACAACTGCTAAGTGATTTAGGTAGTTTCATGTTGTTGGGCTCTATTTTACATCCCCACAACACAAAACTGTCTTAATTGCCTCGCAGTGAGATTCAGCACAACAACAAGACAAACATGTTGCGGCGAATTCTAAAAGTATTTCCAGAAGTACATTTTCTCTTGAAAAAAGACCGGAAATTCTCAGCAACATATATTTTAAGGACACAATTCTAATGCGTGAACTGCACGACTGAAGTGAAATCTTTAGAGCTGTATAAAAAGTAAATGTTGGACTGCAGGTGTAGTTAGCAAGGCCTCGGTTACGATCAATGCACTTTGGCCAAAGCCGCGTGCGCATCTGAGACTGAGAGCACGCCCACACTGCCGGATGGGTCTGTTGGACCGGAGGAAAAAACACAAAAGGCTTTATTGGCCATATTCAGTCCAGACAGCCAAGTTACAACCCGAAGAAAAACAGAGTAATAGCCCCTGTTATAAACAAAGTCTGCTGAAGTGCCCAGAGATCCACTGTTCCGAGGGCAAGATCACAACAAAAATGTTCATTAACCAGAGGGACAGAAAGCTCTGGTCGTCCATGGTTGTCTTGTCAATGTTTTCATTCCTAAGACTAAAAAAATATCAGGATTAAATGTATTTTCTATTAAAACATCCCTGTATTTACTCATGCTTTATGTTACAATTACGTTGCTGATTTCCAAATGCCATGCAAGCTGTTTATATTGTGAATAAAACATGCCGAACAACTCTACGTTTAACCACTGCAAATATATTTTCAAATACAACATTTTAATTATGAAGCATACAGTCACTATTTCACTGAATGTGTGGGATATTGCAAAACAAAGCTTTTCTGTCCTGTATCAGCTTATTCAAGAATACTAACAATAGAATAACATTGTAATAACATTGTGATTGTGACATTGTTGCTATAAAAATCATGTTTATAATCATTATTTTTTTGTAGTGTTGCTCAAACACATTTAAAATGTTATTAAATCTTTTTTCACTAATTTTGATGGTTTAATCATTTTAATTGTTGTAAGGTTTTAATGCGTAGAGCTTAATTTTAAACATAAAACAGACGGTCTAATTTGTATATGTATCTGATGAGTCCGTTAAAGCTTTTTTGTATTTTTTCCCCAGTTAGTTTTGTTCACGTTCAGATTTAGTTTGACTTGTCTGCACATCACAATCTGCCTTGCTTAGGAGCAGACTGAAGGTTTGAGCGCGTTGTTACTGAATGACTGGTCACTTAGAAGGTCATATCTCAACCATCCAGTGGCACTTATTGCCATATAAAGTATACATATGGCTCACGTAAGGATCCTTTTTATGTCTGAACTATTTTATGTATTTTTGTGCACGACTAGGCCGCGCGGAATACGTGCATTCATCATAGATATGTTATTTTTTGGATCTGCAAAATTTGTGAAACCCCCCAAAACAATCTGTCTAAAAAAGGGGTAGTTGAATTGGACTGCGTATACTGGCTAGATGCCTATACAATATGACATGGCAACGCATTTAGCCTACGCGTTTGGGATTTTTTTTTATTTTATTGCAAACAGTACACCTACTCTATTAAAAACTAGATACGGAAATTCTACAATAACGCTTCTCAAATAACCATTCTTGTTACGCTTGGTTATTAGATGCTGAAGCTTAACAACATGAATAAAATCAAATCCACCTTCATAAAAGCATATGGCTATACCATTAAAAATATGACTTGTAAAATGGAGGCCATTTAACCGTGTGCACTGGTTAGGCTTTCCCCTTTATCTCCCACGTTCTCTCCCACAGTCACGTGTCTTGCACATCCAATCCAGTCTCTGCAGTGATTCAACTTATCTAGAGGTCTGTAGTTCACAGCGAAGTCAAGTAGTTAGTTACTTGATTTCAACGGATTCTGCTTTTGTGTCAGTTTCATTGTGGGTGTATCCGTTCGCCTGTGCTCTCTTTGCTTGTTTTTGTTATGTCGACATTGGGGACACTGAGTTACTACGCTGACTCACACATTCCACACGAGAATGACGATCATTTGGCACCGAGGTTCTCATCTGGACCCGTGGTCCAGCAGCAGGCTCTGGAACTGACGCTACTTGAATATGGCGAACATGATCAATACACTTTCCAAGCCAAATCATCAATTTTTGGCGCGTCATGGAGTCCCGTGCCCATGCAGCCCCCAGGCACATCTATCGCCTACCACCCGTACATTCATCACCCATGCTCAACAGGAGAAACCGATGGAGCATCCGTGCGTTCCTGGGCGTTAGAACCGCTGCCTGCCCTGCCTTTCACGGGATTACCCACAGATACACACCATGATATAAAACTTGAACCACTGGTTGGGAGTGGTGAGTGCACCACGCATACATTGCTTGTGGCCGAGACTGACAACAATACGACACAAGCAGAGAGGAAGATAACAGACGATGCGCTTTCCAACGGATCACAGGACGAGAAAGCTCCAGCAGCGACAAAGGTGGATCTAGACCCAAGTAAGTGCAGCTAAATTTATATCAGAATGCGTCTGAATATGTAGGATACAGTTAGGCTACTTTTACCTTAACAGATGAATTCAATAGGCGTCGTTTGTATGTAATATAAAAAGTAGCTATAATCTATAAAAAGCTAGTCTTTTGTGAGAGACGTGAACAATTGCCTGTTTGTTGTAGTTAAATATTCCTATATTGTACAGTATTTTCAGTATAGGTTATAAGGAAAGCTAGAGGTCTTCTAACTAGGCCTTTCTTTCTTCTTTCGTTATGTGGGTGCAATAATCTGCATTTGCATCTGACAGCATGTTTCGATGGAATGTGTCCAGTATTAAAAAATGCCACATATTTGCAGTAGCTATATGTAATCATTAGACTGCATGCCATGTAACATTTAACAAGACTGCTATCCTACACATTACATTCGATTAAATGTTACGCAAAAGATATGGATATAAACGCACAATTGTTGCCGTAAAACATACAATCTGGATTTCTGAGCATTTTTTTTTCTGACAGACAGCAAGGCCCTTGTTTATCCCTCATTCGGTGATGCCAAAATTGCCAGTAGCTAGGAAGAAAATTATAGTTTGCACATAAAATTTTCGATCATATAAAATCCACCCGCAGCCCAGATGCATGTAATCCGTGATTGTGCTTTCCAATTTCAGCATATCAAAATTGTAGCCTTTATATTAGACTCTTTTTTCTTCTCACACGCTGATCATAAAATGGCCGCGGTATTTTTTCAAGTGGCAACATGACTAGCTCTCTCTCTCCGACCCTTCTTGCAGATAACCCTGCGTCCAACTGGCTGCATGCGAAGTCCACTAGGAAAAAGCGCTGTCCATACACTAAGCATCAAACTCTTGAGCTGGAGAAAGAATTTCTGTTTAATATGTACCTCTCACGCGACCGTAGATACGAAGTGGCAAGACTCCTAAATCTCACCGAGAGACAAGTCAAAATTTGGTTCCAAAACCGTAGGATGAAGATGAAGAAATGCAATAAAGATCGTCCAAACGACATTTAAAAGAGGAAAGCTATAAATGCGCACTGCAGTGGATGAAGTTATTTGGTTCGTGCGAAGGTGTTTGTGAATTAGCCTGTCTTTTTCCTCATGCACAACCACAGTAGATTATTATTGATAGCCTACATTTTGTAATGTTAGATGTACATTGCACAAACCTTTGATCTGGGTATGCTTGTATATATCATTGTGTCTTTGTATACAGCTCGTTGGTGATAGTTCTCTTGTTTGGCTTGCTTGTTGTAAGTCTAGCATTTCGCATTCTGTACATTTTAAATATGTTAAAAATTTTATTTTTAAAAGTTTTTAAAGCACCAGTTCATGATTTCAGGGAAATGTGTTCTGCGATGTTGAAATGCTGATGATATGCATGAATTTATTTTAATTAAAAAATGACCTGTAGCGTAATGTATCAATGTTTAATGTGACTACCTAGATGTATTTGAACTACCTATGTATTAAGAATAATTTATGTTGTGTTGTTCGTCATTGAAATATTTCAGTGAATTCTGTAACATTTACGTGATTGTAATGTTATATGTGAACACATAAATTGCATACGCCAATACCTCAAATCAACAGTGTTTAGTCGTTTTCAAATTAAATTCCACTTGTGTAAATAAATACATTTCTGATAAATAATCAATTTCGTTAAGACTCTCTATACCAATGGTCTGGGTAAATATATACGAAAATAATAGCCTCCTTTTTTTTCTTGGGCTACACTCATGCCTAATGAAGTGCAAATCTGCGACATTGCAATAAGTTGTCACTAATAATTGCAGTCCTGTATTTCTGTGCTATACAGCACATAAAGTTCCAGACTCATGAAAGACTCTACATAAATAAATCGTTCCTGAACGAGGTTGACAATGACTGCAATCCCGTGGTATTTTTACGCTATACAACGAGAAATATTTTACCGCCCTCCAAACAGTTTTACACTTCTCATGTTCTCGCGCTCATTCTACCGTTATCTTGCAACCCACTGTTTAGTGTCCTGTTAACGGCCCGGATGCCATTTATCCGAATAAATAAAGCTTAGTTTGATGCTCGTAGACAGGCCTGCACAATCTATTTGTGCCTTGCCCCCTGCAAGCGATATTAGTGGCTGCGCGGCAATAAACCACAATCACAGTCTTAACTGTTTATGGGGTGCAAAGCGATTGAAGGCGGAACTGGAACGACTTTTTGGACGCCCAACGCCTATATTACAATTGCAATTACAGTAACACATTATATATTTTATAAAAAAAATATATATATATTTTATTATTTTGTATTTTCGTATTTAATTATTTAATAAACACACAAAATATTGAAAAAAAGAAAAACTCTGTTGCAGACCAAAATCTTCAAAGGCTCTACACCAGACAGCATCGTAAAATGGGGCTCAGCCCCACTGTCTGTTTTATCTCTGCTAATTACTTTATTACTCCTCAGCAACAATTAAAACGTTGCAGAACTGATCACCCATTTGTTGCCTCGTCATGCATAAAGTGACAACGGAAACACAACCTATTGACGCATTGTACTTTTTCTTGCGTCCAATATCATTGCTACTTTGCATTTTGGTCATTTAAACTTCAACATGTAAAAGAAATTGAAGTATTGTTTTAAAGTGAATGTTTAGCCTACATTACGTGAATGTTTAAGATAGCGCATAAAATACTCTTGTTAGTTTTTTTAACCGTAAAGATGAATCACAAATGTGCACTCGTTTTGTCTAAATGGCATAACTAGGAATTCTAAATATTTCCATTTTAGTAAAGGTGCTACCCCCAACGCTTCACATTTTGGATGTCTGTCTTATTTAACGCACCTGATTCATCAGTAAATCAGCTCATTAATAAAGTGCTTAATGATCTATATTTGGTGTGTCTGATAAGAGTGAGACATCCAAATTTGGCAGTGTTGTGGGGCCTCCTTGAGCAGAACAGACGGGCCAAATGAGCCACTAACATTAGTATCCAGCAGGTGGAGACAGCGGTTTGTTTGAAACGATCAAGTGGCAAAACGGATTCTGCCCTACAGCAACCTCACTTAATTGAAGGCCAGCCACAAACAAACCCTATTTACTGATGCAAATATTTCAGCTAACGTATCAAGAATGATGAATGCGAACAATTGTCAATTAGAATATGGTCGCTGGTTAGGCCTTTGTGAAAACTGAATTGTCATTTCATTTGGTTTTTACTTTTAGGACTTAGTTTGAGACTAAATGCAAGACTTTCATGTTCAATTGATAATGATACTAATGCAAATGGCTCATAAAGAGCACTTAGTTTTAATTTTATAAATATGTTAGCTTTTTCAAACCATTAAAACATGCATAGATGATTGACATTTGGAAAACATATCACATCTAAGCACAGCATAGGACTTTTCTTGAATGCTATGTTGATCTGTGATATGTTGACCTTGTCTGACCACTATGACCTTACTTAAAATTACAAACAGATGATCTGACACTATGTAGTTCCCTCCGATTCCAGCAATAAATCTGGATCAAATAAAACGAAGTCTTTATAATATGCTTCTTAAGGGCCAAATTGTTGCAGAGTTCAGCTCAAATGTGCTCCAACACACCTGCCTGGAAGTTTCTAGTGATCCTAAAGACCCTGGTTAGTTAAACTTTGCAGGAGGTGCATATTGCCACCCAGGAGCAGCATTGGATGCCCCTGGTTTACATACCTAGAAGCATGCACACACTAATGCTCAAGGTAAGACAGGTGGTTCTTGCTCATTCCAGAACTTTGCTTCACTCACTTACGAGTCAATATGGGACAAATGAGTCGTGGCTGCAATTCAAAGCATCACCTATGAAGTACTTAAGAGCAAATGTAGTAGAGGTATCAGGTCCTAAACAGTGGTAAGAGGGGTGTACTGGATGTTGTATGTATCCAAATGGTGTAGTAGCCAAATGGATAATGGGAATGCTAGAATGTGGCAGAGTACTACAAGCAAGAAGAAACTTTGTAGCTTTGTACTTTGTATCTAATAGGTGTCATAATCATGCACGGAACAAGGTGGGCTTGACTGCTTTGAGTGTCAGGGATAGATCACCCAAACATCAAATTATGCCATCATTTACTTACCCTCATGTAGTTCCAAACCTGAATGACTTTCTTTTAGAAAAATATATTTTGAAGAACACTGAGGTTCAAACAACACTGGACCCCATTAACTTTCATTGCATGACTTAAAAACACAAGGTGAGTAATGATGACAAAAAATGTCATGTTTGGGTGAAAAGAGTAAGTGCACCAGTAGACAGAGACACTAATTATACACAATCTGCTAATATTTTACAAGCTATACAAGATTTATGCATGGGAAATAGACAGAGTTAACATCACAGGTAAAAATTTCAGTCCACACTTGCAAATTTCAGTGTATGATTAAAAAGTAATTGATAGTTTAGTTTTAACGTTTTACAATGCTTTCATATTGTTTATATTGTGTCGTAGATCAAGATGGAGGGGAAAAGCGCTGTTTAAGTAGTACCTTATGGTCTTACGAGTGGTCTGGGGCCCTTGTTAATCCACGAGCGTTTCTATGTGAGTTTACATACAGTATATAACAACGGTTTTGGGAAAGAGAACGCAGTGATAAAGTACTACTTGGGTCCCACTTATCCTAGTGTTTTGGGAAACCAGACAGTTGTTAGTCATTTTCCTCTTTCACTAAAAAGGGTAAAATCCATTTACGTATCACGTTCCCATCTATATGTTTTCACTTGTCACACAGGCATGCATGCATCGGAAGCAATATGTAAAGATAAAGATACATTGCTCTGAGCTGGACTGACGTTGCAACACAAGCATCGTGGAGCATCTCAACTAACGTTGTACGTTAATTTACGATCCAGTAACGCCCAAACAAGATCCCGAACTACGTTCAAGAAACAATCCTCAACACGAAAGTAGTGGAAAACATGAAAAATTCTTGTTATCTTCTAAATTTAATAATTAAAAGATTCTGAGGTTAAAAAAAAATTAGCCACTCAGCTTTATAAACATACGTAGCCTAATAGAGCTTAGTCAGGTTAGACGCCATATTGGATTTAATACAAATTAAAACGAGGCTGAGGGATGTAGACATACAGTCTTCACAATGGCACACAATGTATAAAGGTCCTAGGTCAAACAATTTTCACTACTCAAAACATTTATAGAATATTTGTCTATGGAACATCGGTAGTAGTCCATTGAACGCACTAGGCCTAGTTCTATTCTTCACAGCCCCGTTTTCATTGCAGTAAAAATTAAATGGGCTATGCTGCTACTCTGACTAAGGTCTATATAACTGCACACATTGTGTATTATTTTAAGGGCATCTGCCATTACTATTTAGCCGTTGTGCTCCTTTGGTTGGAAACTCAACAGATGCACACAGTGTCGGACATCCGCTATGCAGATACTTCATAGATACACTTAGCCTCATGCAACATGCAATATGCAGCTTCCATGCTATTCAGACTAGGCTAACAAAACAGATTTAAACCTGCAATGGAGGAAGAAGAGAAATGAGAAGAGAGCACCTTTTTAAAACTCCTTTGTTAACATTTTTATTAATTTTTTTGCACAAATGCATAAATATTTCGTGTAAAATTAATAATAATGTACATTTCTATATTGCAATTATATTGTAGCATGGCAGTCAAGTGCATGTTGCCTGATGGCAAAAAGTGCATAATGCTTCATTAATCTCTAAACGGAGATTAGAAAGACTGGCAGTGTTTTCACTCTCTTCTGGTGTAGGGGAGAAATATTCCTAAAGAGCCTACGTGTTATTTTAGGAAAGGAAGCGTTAGTACAACAATAAATAATTGGTAAAATTATAAAACAGTTGGTGTACATTAGAAATAACTTGCTCGGCGTTTAAATTAAAATCCGTGACGTTACAGGGAAACCCAGTTTTACGCGTTTATAGAATGAGGGCGGATAGCAGAAAGAGGGCGATGTTGAGCCTCCACAAACGCTGTTTTGTAGGAAACCATATCTCGTTGAAAGGCAGCCGATGATAATCCAGCAGTAAAGTTCATTTTAAATAAAAGCTGCTTATGTGATTATTTTAGCTGTGTTACCATAGCTCTGTCACACACCAAATATGCCTATAGGATATCAGCCTATAGCCTATGCAGGCCTTTATTTATAGTTTACTTTACTTTTAGTTGCTAATATGGTTATTTTGGAAGAAATTCGTTGTCGGAGCAAACAACCCTGAAACAATTAATTAATCATAAATCGTAAAATAGCATGTAAAGTTCATTAAATAATAGCGGTCCATGTATAAAGGTGGCATTATTAACCGATCTATTTCATGCCTCCCAATGCGAATATTAAAGGCATATACTTTTCTAAAACATTTCGAATAAAAACTTTTTGTGGCTACTCCTTTATAATCCAATTAGCCTATCCTGCATACAGACAAGAAGGCATTTGCGTTTAATGGTGCAAGAGACTCATGACGT